TAGTTAATTAATTAAAAACAATATGAGCATGGTGCAACAAGCCTTGTAAGCACATTGAAGGCAGAGTATCACCCATGCGCTGTTATGCAACGTGTTGATGAAGCCACTTTGGAACCCGGTGCCTGAGACTCTGTCTCAGAGGCCACCCCTGAGTTCTGCTCTGTGATGTCCGGAGATGATCTTCTAATTTCAAACCTGTGTTTTTTAATGTACAAATTCACCCCATTTGATCTGACTCCGTCCTTTAATTCAAATAGATTTCTGTCTTTAGCCGGTATTCCCTTTCCTGTCCTCTGCATGAGTTTGCTGCTGAGTAGTCATCTTCCCTTCAGCCTTTTCGGAGATGAGGACTCAGCATAACCACTAGAAAGGGGTCCTCCCCCTGGCACCGCACATCCTCCATCTCCTCACCCCGCAGCCTCCTGCTCTGCTGAGTCACCGCTGCGCCGTGCGCTCCCCAAGTATCGCTGTTGCACAACGGGCGTTCATGTCCTGCTTGTAATTAAGATTCCCCAAGGTCCAGCTCATAGCCTGCGGGCCTGCTTTGAGCCCTGTGTCTGGTCTGCACGAAGGAGATGTTGCTGAGGCGTTGGCACAGCTGACCGGGGAGGTGGGGGTGTCACCATCCCTGGAGGTGTTACAGAAGCCGTGGAGATGTGGCACTGAGGGATGTGGTGATGGGCATGGTGGGATGGGTTGGGCTTGGGGGTCATTGAGGTCTTCTCCAACCTTACTGATTCTGTGATTCTATTTCAGGTGCCCTAAAAATCTCAGTCTTTGCATCTCCTAGCTCTCGTCTCAGCATGCCCATAAGGTGACAATGCACCCTCAGAGCCCTGGGTCCTCCAAACTCACTTTTCTTCCCTCCATTACCCATGACACATGCACACAGCCGATTACATGGAAGCAGCAAGCCGGAATTTTCACAAATATCTCAACTCAGGCCATATAAACGGAGTTTATCTCATGTCAGTCTCAGTTCTGAGCATACAGCTCAGCTTTATGCACACCTGCAGCATTATTTGCTCTGCGTCAGGGCAGCAATCCTGATCTATCAGTGTGTCACTGCCAATCTGATGCATGTGAAAGCAGCACGAAGCCCTGAACCCGTTCTGCCTGCTCTGCTGCTGCACCAAGGGCTGCTAAATGCCCATTTAGTGGTGGCTCACATCTGGTGGGTCAGTGTCCTGGACTTCCTTGCAGAAGGGAAGGAAGCCCGTGTGCACTCCAGCACTGCATTTCCTGAGCTGTGGGTTTATCTTTTGCAAAGCAGAAGGTATGTTGGATGTGAAAGGGATCGCTGCGCAGTGCAAATAACAGGCAGGCTCCCTGCTCCTCCTTTGGCTGCAGCTGCTGTGAGAACTGGGGCTGGTGAATCACAGGTGATCCAATTCTCATGGCTCTCTGTGACTTCATCTGACATCGATGTTTGAAACTCTGCTCCAGAGCCGTCTAAAGGAGTGCCTCGGGGTTGGCGTAACTGTTTCTGTTCTATTTAGGTTGAGATGAACCCATTTTTTTTCATTTTCTCCATCCTAGGGAGATCTTCTTTGTCAGTACCTACTCTTGATGGTGGTTGTGTAGCCAATGCACAGCAGAAACTCTTCAGCACAAGCAATGAACCACCCAGATCTACCAGGGTAACGCAGCAGAAGGAATGAAATTGAAAACAAGGACAAAAGGATCAGGAAACATAATAAAAAACAAAACCAAAAAAAACCCGAAGATTTAGGTGTCCCAGTTACTAAACATAAGGAGAGTTGAGCGAGGAGGCAAAAAAGCAGCAGAGCAATGTCAGAAAAACACATTTCAGTTTCCCTGAAAAAATTTGGGCCGGTTCAACAGCACATGCCTCAGTTCCCCTAATTGCTCCGCAGGGTTGGCCACCCCGACCTATTTTACAAAGGTGTTGTCGAGTTTAATTTGTGAACCTTTGAAAAGCGCTCCGAGTTGTGCAGATGAAAGGTGCTGTGGATGCCAAACGTGGGTGGATGCAGTGAGTCAGAGGCGCAGACATGGGCACTGCGTGAGCAGCCCAGTGCAGTGCAGCACATAGCAGGCAGTGATCCTCTGCAGGAGGGATGGTCGGTGCAAAACTCATCGCTGCTGCTTGCATGGGTGTGAATGCATGCGAGAGAAATCAAGAGCCACCCTCTGGGAGGTGCAAATATGGAGAGGGTCGCTCTGTATTTGATGCCCAACTGCATGAAATAGAGGTGTGTGTGTGCAAGTGTTCCAAACTTGCACACAGCTTTGCTGGGAAGCAAAGCACAAAGTGTCTGATGGAGCACACCTCGACTCCCAAGCTGTCCTTAATCCCCAGCAGCCCTCTGATGGGGTGTCCTTTAACTCCCAAGCTGCCCTTATGCCCCGACGGCCCTCCTGTTCTCCCTTGAATATCCACTGTGCACCTCTCAAACTTCAGGCAGGCATGAAAATTATTTTCCAGCATAAGCCAGAAATAACAAAGGAGAGGTGGGTCCCATCCGTGAGCAATTTCTTCACATGCAAAAAAAAAACCAAACCAAAACAAAAAAACCACCCAAAACCCAAACAAAAAGCCACAAGGAGGTGTGATGAGAGATGATGGGGAAAAGAGTGGGCTTGGCCTTGGGCTGCAGTTTGCAAGGCAGAGATGCACCGAGCTGTCTTTGGTCAGACACGGGCCTGCTGTGGTTTCACAGGTATTTACAGGCAGAACGTGCCTGAGGCACTAATGCCAGGCATGTGGGATGCTGTGGATAGAGCTGGGGTAGAAGAGGAACCGGTGACAGTGGCATTGCAGAGGGAGCATTCCCCGTGTGCACCATAGGGATATCCGTGCTTGCTTGCATGCAGATGATGGGCATCTCTGCATGGACTCAAAAACTGATAACAAACCTCATCCTGAACCCGCCTGGAAGAACTGCATTAAACTCATTGACTTCACCATGATGGAGAAGTTTTCAGCCCTTCTCTTCTTTTTCCACCATACCTCATCCAGAATCTTCACTCAGAGTCGGGAAGGCAAGAGAAACCAAGGCGTTCCTCTTCTAAGCCAGATCTCTTCGTAGAGATACTATTTGTTTCTTAACGATTAATTCTGGCTCAGAAAAGCCCTGCTGAGCCCTCTCTGTACACATGAGAACAGGAGCCTCCACCCTCCAGTATTTTTAATTACTTGGAGATCTACAGGGCTGTTGATGTTATAAAGATCAGCTCAGCCTGAGAAGCCAAGGAGGAAGAAATGCGTGCGTGTCAGCCAACCTCCTGCTTTTAGGAGATCTGCTCTTTAAAAACAGAGCTGCCCTTTGCTATGCCAGAGAGTGGCTTCTGAGTCAAGAAACACCGTGGTCCCATTGACAACAACAAGCTGCCCATTGGAAAAGGCTTCAAAATGGGGCCTTTCCCATCGACTGTTACCCCAAACCAACAGCATATACCCGATTATTCCTCACACGTGGAGAGCCATAACTGCACACTAAAAAGGGATGAATAAGGTTCTAAGTGCAGTTCAGTTGAATAATTTTTTTGTTCCTCTTCCCTTTCCTCTCCTTTTTGCATGGACAAAGCCCTTATTAACCTTATCTATAAGACAGGTGCTTCCTGGGTATCTCATATCAGATCCAAAATGCAGGCTGTTCCTGTTGGGGCTGCACCTCCATTTCCTCCACACCTAAAAGAGAGCTGCAAAACACAGACCTGGATTCTTCCTCTGCTGCTTAGCACTCTTCCAATAGTGGTTTTGCTATGGATTCCCAGTGAGAAATGATCACAGCAGAAAAAAAAAAATAATCACATTCTCAACCGGTGACACCATTCTACCCTGCAAAAATGAAATTAAGCACAAATCAGATACTGGGCTGGGTTAATTTACAGCCTGCATGTTAATCTCACTGAAGTTCAGAGTATAATCTATGTTACATTGATATGAAATGAGTGTAGGGTCCACCTCCTTCTTTTGAACTTGATGGAATTCAGCAGCGCCGATAAAGGGCCTTTTTCTTCTGAAATCTGTCATTGCAGTTGGCTGAATAAAAACCATTATGGGGTGTGGACTTCTCTCTTTTTTTTTTTCTTTCCCTTAATGAAAGGAGCATTTCATGAGCTTTGAAATAATTTTGCTGTTTCTCCCTTCCGCTGTGCCCTCTCATTGCCAGTCAGGGAAATGGAAAATGAAGGGAAAGCCAGGGAAGAGAGGAAGGAAAACTACCAAAGCTGCTTGATATGACAGTTGAATATATTTCTTTTGGATAAAAAAGCTGATCATTCTCCAGGAATATGGCTAATGGAGAGAAAAATACGTATTTTTAAAACTCTTCTGCAGTTCTTTCTTCTTGCAAGAAGCATTTTGGCCATCTATCTGCAAAATACTTAACCTTTCAGATCTGTCTCTCAGTTCAGTGCGTGTTTATGGGAGGAACTGCACAGGGAACACTTGAACCTGTGTTTTACTGAGAACATGCAATGAAATGGGTGGTGGGGGCTCTTCCCTTAGTCACGTAAGTAGGGTTCACACGGCCTGCAGGAAAACACAACTCTGGCTGATTTTTATTTTGGGTCAGCTGCGTTCTTCTAATGTGTGCATTGCTTATTTCCAGTTGTAGATAGATGGATCTCACACAAACCCAACATCAGCATCAAAATAAAGATAATAGGGGTCTTTTAAACCCGGTATTATCCCCATGTTTCCCCTCCCTGTTCTACTGAATACAGCAAGCCCTCGGGGGAACCCAGTTTAAGAATGCTTTATTCTAGGCGTTCATTTTAATGACGACCATAATTATTTCTGTGCATGTGTATGACCCAGTTAACAAACCCATCCTCAGCATCCCATGGTCTCTCTGACCCTGCCCATCTCAGCAAGGAGGTAACCTCAGCTCCTGGCAACAACGAGCAAAATTATTTTTGAAACAAGCGGTCGAACTGGTTACTGCATCTTAATGAAAATGATTTTTTTTTTTTTTTTCCCCAAGCATTTCTATGTATATAAACAGCCCTTCCTCCCAAACCTGGTTAGACAAGAATGTTCCTGGGTGTGGACCGCCTTGTATAATTAACTGCACAGCTGTGGCTTCTGATCCCTGGTAACGTCTGTTCCTTTCTTTCCTTCTTTCCCCCTGCCTCTACCTAGCATTATCCAAAGCTCATCTCCTCCTCCTTGCAAGAGCTCCAGGTGCGTCACTTAGGCAGCAGCTGCCCCACATTCCCCCGTCATTCCTCACTGGGACGGCCAGCAGGCAGGCACACGGCCACAGCTGCTTCCAGGGGTCGGGGGACAGCACGGGGGGACAGGACAGAGCAGAGCAGCCAAGAAACCAACCCGCCCCGGTTAGACAATGGAAACAGGGAGTGCAGCAAGGACAAACGGCACCGCTGGGAAGCCAGAGGATGTGAAGAGTCCATCCGCCCCCAAAAAGGATGAAGAAGTGAAGAAGACGACGAATCCTGGCGGAGGCGAGAAAGAGCCAATAAAGGGCACTGGCGGTACCTCCCTGGAGACCGGACAAATCAAGAGCTCCCTCTTCTCTGGGAGTGACTGGAAGAGGCCCATCATTCAGTTTGTGGAGTCGTCCGATGAGAAGAGATCGACCTACTTCAGCATGGACTCAGCAGACTCCAAGAAGATGCCATTCGCCAGCGGACAGATAGGAGACATGAGGAGAACTCCACTCTCCTTCGCAGACAAGGGCGACCTCAGGAAGTCCCTCTTCTCCTTGGATTCCAAAAAGAGCTTCTTGCCTAATGAAGGGGAAGGGAGGAAGCCCTTGTTCTCCGGCGGGCAGATAGGGGACATGAAGAAACCATCCCTGCCTCTGGTGGAGACGGGAGACCTGAGAAGACCCACCTTCAACAAAGTGCCTGACAGAGCAGCTGGCTCACGGCCCAGGGTGAAGCTGGAGGATGTGCTGTGCGATTCCTGCATTGATAACAAGCAAAAGGCCGTCAAGTCGTGTTTGGTGTGCCAGGCTTCCTTCTGCGAGCTGCACCTCAAACCCCACCTGGAGGGAGCAGCTTTCCGGGACCATCAGCTCCTCGACCCCATCAGGGACTTCGAAGCAAGAAAATGCCCTGTGCATGGGAAGACCATGGAGCTGTTCTGTCAGACAGACCAGATGTGCATCTGCTACCTCTGCATGTTCCAGGAGCACAAGAACCACAGCACGGTGACGGTGGAGATCGAGAAAGCAGGAAAAGAGGTAATATAACACTTCTCTAACTGCTATTCTTCTCAATCGTCTTTCCGTGGAACTCAATGTCACTCCAGGGCTCTTTCCCTCTATCCTATGGTCTCTCCTAAAATCAAGGCTGCAATATAATCCTGGGATGCAAGGGAGGTGGTTGGGAAGGGTTTAGTGGAGGACTGATGTTTCCAAGGCTCTGCTGTGCTTAGACTGTCTGCAGACAGCTTCTTATAGAAGCACATCCATGGTGTGGTGCAGCAGACTGCGTTTGGTTGGGCAAAACTACCCAACAGAACCCAACCTGATCACAGCACTGGCTTTCAGCAGGAGCTGAACTAAAGCCCCATGTTCTCAGTTTTCAAGTTGTGTCTTTGTACAGTGCTGCAAAGTGGGGCTGTGCCTGAGTTCAGGACCTCCTGAACATGGGCACACAGATCAGTGCTGCTCAAGTTTGTGGTTACAACAGAAAATTGTGATCTCAGCTCCCTGGTGTGAGCTTCTGCCTTCTTGTTTGTCTTTTCTGTTATGGAGATAATGATGTTGAGCCCCACCTGTGGGAAAAGTCTTTTGAAGCTTAGATGAAGAAAAAAAAAAACTTAGTGCAAACAGAGAACGTTTAATTTTTCCCTGAAGTGTTACTGCAGTAGTCTCAGAAGATGGACATCTAAAGAGATGGGACTGGCGTGTGAACCAGTGTTCTCTCTAATGAAAGTCTTCTGCCTTTGTTTGCCTGAATTCTCATTCTGTTTGCTTTCTGGGCAGATGCACAATTATCCCACTTGTTCCAGTGAATGTCAGGGTCCCACCACATTCAGTTCTGTAAAAACATACCTCAGGCTGGAGACCTTCTGGTCTATCCAGACAAGGCAGGAGAGATGACAGAAAGGAGACCCATAAAGCGGTCACATAAAACCATTTGCCTAGAATTACAGCCAGCCCATGGCAGGAGCTGGAAGGGCACCCAGACCTGCTGGATCCCAGCCTTAATCACAGCCCAAGAGCTCTGATGTGGTGAACAGGCACGTACAAGTACCCGCTGTTGGAAATTCTTGAGTTACACGTAATCCAGAAGAACAATTTACAGTTTAACTCATAATGCTGGAGGAACACCTTTTTTAGAGCTTCTCTGTCTTTCCTTGCACAGTTTTTGGTATTCTCTTGCAATGCCATCTTCACCTTGCAGCCTGACTGGAACCAGACAAAGCTTCTCCCATGTCTCAGACGGTCTCTCAAAAGAAATTCCTGCAGGGATTGCTATCTGCTGTTTGTGTCATGATTGCTTGGTCTTGTTTTTTGATGTTGGCTCTGAAAGATTACACAATGTATGCCTAACCTTCATAAAGCTGCTCCAGGTTGTCCAATTCCTCTTGGCCATTTCCACTGAGAAAGCTCCCTTGAAGAACCAAAGCTGGCCAAAGCTTCTGCCTATATTTGGATGAATCTACAACACCTTGCTTGTACATAGGCAAGATTTGGGTGGAGGAACCTTCAGCTAGGATTTAAATGGTGTTTGATTTCTCTCCCAGTGTTCGTGCTGTTCTGGTAAGGTCTGTGCTTGCCCTGTGCTGATTCTGCTGCTGCAAAGCCCAGAGGATTTAGGGCTTTATCAATGAATCATACACATGTGCAAGTTTCTCCTGACAACGAGTCTTGATCGTGTTGTAACTTGAGGGAGTATTCACTCAGACAAAAACAATTAACAGGATAGCTGTTGCTTATAAATGTTTATTCCTAGCCCTGATCTATTCTCCATTGGTGGAGCCTTAGCAAGAACCACAGGGAGGGACGAGCACTGCCAGTTCCCTTGTGTGCATCACCTCTTCTTTTCAAGTCTTGCAAATCAACTCAGCTGGAACATGACCACAAATTGGTGAAGTGGCAAAGTGTGCCTGGTGCTGCTGGCCTTTGTGGAAAGAGTGAGCAAAAACCCCACACTGGGGCAACCCCCATCCATTCAGGTCAACCCCAACCCCATCCCTGCTGCCATGGCATCACTTGGCACTCAACAGCCGCAGGGTAGCTGTGGTGCATTAAGGTGTATTTTGCTCTGTTCCTTTCATACTGCAGAATGAATGCAGTTTACAGCCCCTTCTATGAGTTTCTTCCCACTATAGGCCTGGAGGGAGGAAAGCTGCTTCACTGTGCTGGTGGGAAACGGAAGGACAGTTGAAGAGCTTTCCATGGAATGAGGTAACTGCTGCACCTTGCAGACAGAGAGAGTGCAGCTTAAGAGAAGAGGAATAGGAGCAAGGCAGTATGCAGACCCCACTGGTTAGGGCATTTAGGGAAGCAGTGGGAAGCTTGGGATTTCTGTGAGGCAAAGGGAGAGCACAGCAGCATCTGCCATGTCACAGAGCCAGGCTGGGAGCCGCTCATCCCCTTCCTACTGTGTTGCACAGGAGGTCAGACAGAGACAACTTGCAATAGAAGATGGAGATATTTTTTTCTAAGTTTCCACCCATTAGTATTTGCCTATTGTACCCCAGCTCCGCTTTGCATGAATTTCCTGCTACAGATTGAAAGCAAAAGTAACACCTCCACCAGAACCAGCACAAGAAACAGCCAATAAAAAGGATTGTGAGGCCGTGTAATAACCTCACCACTGAAAAGAGAGAGCTGTCAATTGCAGCCTGGACGCTCACATAAACCCCTCTGGTCAGCTTGATTCATCAGCAGCACCAGACCCCCCCCCCCTTTCAGACAGTCCTTCATTTTAAAAGGGGATCCTTCATCCCAAACCTGTTTTACAGGCCCATTCTCAGAATGAGACGACTTCACAGATGCCTGCCAGCCACCGAGCTGCAAATAACTCAGCATTAAGATCCATCACAGCCTCAGCACTCGGCACGTCGGGTCAGATCTAGCAAAAAACGCTTTGGGTTGTTGGGTGTTTTTTTTTTTTCCCTTTCATTCTTTAGCTTTAGAGAAAAGTTCCCACCGCACGGCAGGTTTAAAGGGTCGGCAGAGAAAAGCTGTGCAGGAACGGGAGCTGGGTGTTCTGCTTGCTTCTAAAAGTGGAGCTTTCACAGAGGATGGAGAGGCTTTGAAGTCAGTCATCCTCAGAGAGGATCTGGAGGGGCTTCCATCTGGGCCCCTCTGTATTGTTCTGGTTGAATACACAGCAAAAAAAGAGCGTATTGATGTGCCAGAGGAGAGTTTTTGGCTTTTCCCACTGATGCTAGGGCATGGTGGAGCCTGGGGCCTTATCTGCACTCGTTGTGGCCGCTCTGCAGACACATGGATGCTCCATCCACAGGAACAGCACAGCTACCCGTACACCATCCCTTCTGTCTGGAAGCCAGACAAGCAAACCTGCTGAAAGCTGTGATTTAGAGCAGCTTTGCTCATTTGTCTGCATTCTGCAGTGCTGCCTCTACAGTGAGGGCAGAACCTGGGACGTATGCACCAGCTCATGGGTGAGGAACCCTCCATCTCTTTCAAACAGAGCCTTTAATGGTCTCAGCTAGGGCACTGACCAGTGGCATTAGTCGCAGGATGTTGGCAGTCTGCAGAAACTGCAGCCCAGTGCCACCTGCTTCTGCATAACAAAAGCTTAGACTGGAAAACCCAATGGCAAAATCAGGAGAAATCATCTCCAACAATGTGCTGATACCTCAGCTGTGCCACCTCCAATATAAACCCCATGCTGGGATAACTCGTTTCAACTCTTCTGCTCCCACTTCATTATTGCATTTGGTTGTTGCTGACAGATAATTACCATAGCTCTCCCAGGCTGGTGACAAAGGGGTGTTTCCTGATTCAGGGACTGGGTTCCCAGAGCATTAAGACATGACGATGCTTGTGTTGCTGCCTTGCAAAAATGAGTTGCGTCATGATGCAAGAGTCATAATCTCACATCTCCAGGTCCTTTAGCACAAGGGCTGGGTTCACTTGTGGATGTTTAGATGTACACTCTGAACTTTCACTTAGGCCTCTTGACTGTCCTAATTAATTTAGGTGGTAACAGGGGATCCTCGGTTCGCTCAGACTCTCGGTGCCAGCATTTCTCATAGGCAAACCTGATGCTCTAAACAAGCACGTCCCACATTTTTCACCACTGTCATCATTTCTGCAGAGTAGGGACCCCTGCAACGATGGGTACAGCCCCTCTGTAATCTCTTTCTAATGTTGTTTTTTTTTGGTACAAACAGTTCTAGTGGTTGTGCTGCCATGCAACGAAGACACTCTCTTTGCTGCTGTCCATACCAGTGTTTCCTTTGCTCTCATTAGAGGAGTTTTAAGCCAAGCTGAACCTGAATGACTGTGATATTTGCATCCCAGCTATTGGAATGATCTCTGTAATTTCCACTTGCAAATCGTAATTCTTACTGTAAATTGTAGTGTGGGGTTGCTCTTAAACAGTTGTTACGTTCCATCCCAGTGGCATCCAAACTACCTTTCTGCATGAAGGGATCTTTCAGCTCCAACAAGCTGCTAAGAGCTAGCTACCACTTCTGAGCCAGTAATAGTTTTCTAAGTTCCTTTGAGACCCATCTTAATTAAAAAGCACCATATAAGTATCATATTGTTATCACCACCTTCCAGCCAGCATCTGGAAAATTCTCCTGTAACCTTTCCTTTCAAATTTGTTGTGATTACAAAGCCTCTGTGGCTGTGAAACATCAGCCCTTCTGAAAAGAAAGCTCCACGTTCTTGCCATGAAAATGTCCTGATACTTAGGGGTGAAGAGGGGCACGTAACTTCCCACTGCTCAGGAGGTCCTCTTTTGCAAAAAGTCAATGTCATTTGGATGTAGCTTATGGCTCAAGGAAAGATCTGGCATTAGATTGCAATTTTTTCAGATTGATTACTGGAGTGTGCGTAGAAATGGGCAAAATTTTGCATTCCTTCAAGTTACTGTCTCAAAAAATGTGAAAACTACAGGACCAAGCTCACACCTTTACTTTCTTGATGAGTAGAAGAGCAAATTGGCTTATCCTGATATACACATCTCCCTTAGGAACCTGTGCTGCAAAACCCTTCCACGTCTGCTCTCAACCCTTGTAGAATGTGAGCTTCAGCTGATGGCTGCTCTCAGTTGGGTATTGTAGGCTGCCAGGGTGTATGGATGCTGTTTAGAGGGCCAATGGTCTCCTAACTCAAGAAGGACAATTACAGTGATGGTATAAAGGATGTTGCTCTTCTGGCCCAGAGATGCCTTTGAGTACATTTGCCTTTTTTGTTTGCCCTTTCTTCTTTTTTTTATAGGGCAATAAAACAACAATCAAATTGTTTTCCTTCTATAAATAGAGGTTTTCTAAATTGGAACAGCAAGAGTCAATGGCTCTCAGATGCAGCTGTGCTTGATTCAGGCTCAAGAGGATGTTCAGACACGGCAGCAACTGGCACCAAGACAAGAGCCTCCACGGGCAGATTTCCCTGCTCTGAGCTGGCTGACAGTTTGTTGCCTTCTTGCTCTTCATGCTGTGATGCTCCTTTGCTGCTCTTTTCAACTCCCACCCCCAAAGCCAACAATGATCCGGAGAGAAGAGCTGGGTTTACACGCTAAGTTATGATCCTGGCTTGGTGGCAGCACAACCTTACTGCGTTAGCTGCTGGGTTCCCCCAGCCCTCACTTCCCCTACAACTTACTGTTGGCCTAAATACGAGTCCTTTGGGGTGATACGCACTTGCTGAAGGATTCCACACCTACAGTGGGTTTTCAGAGGCAGCGTTGTGCCATAGCAGGGCTGAGGAGCACAGGTCATATCTGCTGACTGTGCCATTCCTCAAGAGCTCTGGGAACGTGTGTGCCACCACCAGATTGCCTGTAGTTACAGCTGCGCTGTGACCAACCTGTGCACACATGAAGCACAGAAAGATCCTGAGACACGTAAACAAAGGCTTTGTCATGATCTGTGGGGCAGGGAGGTGGTGAGCAGCAGGTGAGCTAACGGGGCAGTGCTCAGCAGCCGGGTCCAGCATGGCCCAGGGATGTCCCCAGCAGTGCCCAGCCCTCTATGGTTCCAGCTCCCCAGTCCACCTTGCATGCAGCTGTCTGCTCTGCACTTTGCTAGGAAGCCAGTGCAAAACAAAATGCAAATGGCTCCTGGTGAAGGTGCTGATCTAAGCCAAGCATGGTTGGCTACGCCTCCTCCCCTCTTCCTTTTGGTTTTTTTTTTTTTTTTTTTTTTTTTTTTTTTTGTATTTTTTTTTTTTTTTCCAAGCATTCCCCAGCTTCATCATAACATGAAAGCTCTCAATTCAGAGCAAATTAATCCACAATCCTGTCTAAACAGAATTCCTGCCGGAGGCACCGTCCTCTTTGTTGCAACACTCGTCAAACGTCATTCCGTAATTAGATGAAAACTGTTATTGCTGCAGAGGCACACCCTGGGATGGGCCCCGTGCTGCATACACAGCTGAATTTTGAAACAGGCCTTGTCCCCCTCCAGCTAATGACTCTAATGTGATTAAAAGCAGCACCATGACGGTAGCCTGGTAGGTGGGTGCTTCTGCTGCTGTCTTTGCTGAGGAAGCTGAATCTCTTGCCCCAGCCAGCAGCTCTGGCACCTTGTTCCCTGTCAGCACATCGTCTCCATCTCAAGCAGTGCCTGCAGTCTGTGCTGCCTGGCTGCTGCTGCTGCTCAGGAACCAGTGCAGCAGAGGAAGCACAGCACTCCTCGAGGCACACCATGCAGCCTTTGCTCATGGGTCTCCCCTCTTCCTGCAGGCTGAACTCTCGCTGCAGAAGGAGCAACTGCAGCTGAAGATCATCGAGGTAGAAGATGAAGTGGATAAGTGGCAGAAGGAGAGGGACCGTATCAAGGTGCGTGGGGGATATTCACTTTTCCATCTCTCCTATGCTTGTCTCTTTCTTTTCCAGTCTCTCACATCACTCTTTCTTCCCTCAATTTTCCTGGCATATCCAGCTCTTACTCACTGCGTTCCTTACCTAGCTTCTACCTCATCACTCTCCAGCACTCGTTCACACCACATCTTGGCAACAACAACTCCTACTGAAGTCATTTTGCAACACATCCTGCAGGAGACAAGAGGAGCCTGCACAGCCCTGTTATGAAACGGCTCGGGACACCTACTTGCTTTTGGTTCCTATGGTTCTGCCATCACTAACAGCCAGGCCCATTTGGAAACAAAAGCGTTCTGCCTTTCTCCTCCACTTAGAAAATCAACTCCAGAAGTGCTCTGGATTGCCCATCTCCATCCCTGGAGGTGCTTAAGGCCACACAGGATGGGATCCTGGGCAACCTGGTGGTCAGCAACCTTGCCCATGGCAGGGGGTTGGAACTAGATGATCTTTGAGGTCCCCCCAGACCAACTGTTCTATGATTCTAAAGCAACCAGGTGCAGCTACACCAACGTGTGTCTTGTTTATAATAGAACAGCTCATTTCCATACTGATAGAGGTCTCTTTTATAGTCCTTTCACCACACAAGGGTTAGAATATAGTAATGGTGGTTTTTTTTTTTTTAATTTACACCCTAACTGAACAGAGCAGTGAAAACACTATTTGAAGACACCCCAGAGAATTTGCATAATATTAATAAGCAAAGCCGTTCTTCTCCCTTTTATGTGGTACACGCACACTGACTTGCCAGTTCTGCTTTTTGTCTCCTCTATTATTATTATTATTACTACTACTATTACTATTATTGGAAATGTGACCTAGAAATTTTAACTCTGAATATAGTTCTATCCAGAGTCATTCTGAGGAATATTTCAGAGGGACGTAGAGAGGTTGATGGAAAGTGTTTCAGCTGCTTTCATCTACTGAAATGGAGTGATTTTGGTCCTTAAATTCTGGAGGAGCCAGAGTTATGATTTAGAAAGTTAGACAATGTTTTTAAATATCACTTAGGAGTGCAGCTCACGAATTGAAGAGATGCTATTATAATGAGGAAGACAGCGTGCGCCATACATTATCTATATACACACTTATTGCAAGAATTAATATTACTTATGTTAGCATAGCTTTCTGGTGCTAAGGATTGCATACCTAAAGTCTGCATAGTCGTGGTCCCAATGCTGAGAATCATAGAATCATGAAGGCTGGAAAAGATCTTTAAGATCATCTGTTCAACCATCCACCTACCACCAATACTGCCCACTCAGCTGTGTCCTTCAGAACTACATCTACCCCCTCCTTGAACACCTCCAGGGCAGTGAACCCACCACCTCCCTGGGCATCCTGTGCCAGTGCCAGAAAACTCTTTCTGACAATAAATTCTTCCTAATATCCAATCTGAACCTTCCCTGGTGCAACTTGAGGCCGTTCCCTCCTGTCCCATCAAGTGCTTGGACACATCCCCACCTACATCCCTTATTAGCAAGTGACTCCATGTAAGAGTTCTTTTGTTTCTCACCATCTCTTGTGTCTTTTCTGCTGCCTTCCTTCTCCTCCCCTGTGCCCCCACAGAACTACACCACCAATGAGAAAGCAACCGTAGACCAGCATTTCAAGGAGCTGATCCGGGACCTGGAGAGGCAGAGGGATGAAGTGAAGGCTGCCCTGGATCAGAGAGAAAAGATTGCCTCGGAGAATGTGAAAGAGATTGTGGATGAGCTGGAAGAGAGGGCAAAGCTGCTGCGGGAGGACAAGGAGAACAGGGAGCAGATCCATCAGATCAGTGACTCCGTGCTCTTCCTCCAGGTCAGAAAGACCTCATTTGCTTTTCCTTTTCTCAGACAGCATAGGAAGCGCTAGTCTTTTCCAGTTCAATGCACATGTACGTGAGGAACTGGCCCTGGCATTTCAAGCAGTGTCTGCTCCCGTGAAGCATGAACTTCAGCATGCCAACGCCTCGTATTTCTTTTCTTTTCCTCCTTTTTTGGTGGCTACAGCTCTCAGCCAAAGCATTTGACTGCCTCCCATCCATCTTCACTACTCTCCCTCCCTCTCTGTGTTATTTGGAGCCTAACGTAGACGGTTTCTCTGGATCTCTCCTTATATTCCTCAATAATCTCTCTTCTCCTCAATTTGGCAGGAGTTTGGGGCTTTGATGCGGAATTATGTCCCCCCTCCCTCCCTCCCGACGTACAGCGTGCTGCTCGAAGGGGAGAGCATGAGCCCCTCCATGGGGCTGCTCCGTGATGACCTCCTCAACGTCTGCATGAGGCACGTGGAGAAAATCTGCAAGGCAGACCTTGGCCGCAACTTCATTGAGAGGAACCACATGGAGAATGGTAAAGTAACCCAGAGCTGCCCCATCCTAGGGCAGAGCCCGGCTCAGGAGCTCACTGGGTGACAGAGGAGGCAGGATTATAAGAAAAATACTGGCAGAAGTAGGAATGTGGCCACCCCAGCACGGCAATTCAGATATCCTGCTACCAGCCTCATTTGTTCAGCTCGGTTAGTGCGCTAGTGCTGCAGTGACATGCCATTTTACAGCAGCTGCTTTCAGCTTGGAACATGAAATATCCTGAAAGCACCTGTCACTGAAAATCTAATAACAGGTTTTCTGGGTAGAAAAAGGTCTTTGTTTTGGTGTTCGGGTCAAACTAATCCTTGAAGAGGCATCGCTCCCTGACCCTGCCTCTGCAGGTCCCACCAAGCAGAGCTGTGCTTCCTCAGCTCCTGTCTCAGGGAATGCAGAGCACACGGGTTCCTGCAGTGATTAAGGATGAGCAATCTTTCTTATGTAAACAGGGAGGGCATGGTCAATACCACAGCAATGCAAGGAATCTTCTAAGGCTTTGAACCCACTTTCTTTCAGTCTCTTCCCATCAGTTCTGCAGAGGACTTGTGTTGCATAAAGCTCGTTTGTGAGACTGCAGACTATAACCATGTTTTGCTTCCATGCTGTCCCACAAACAGTCTTTGTGACCTTGGGCATGGTACTTAATCCCATTACATGACCTCTTGCACTAAGAATAGTAGGGATGGGAGTAAATCCTTATCTTGCCAGGCTGCAAGGAAGGTCTAATTTATGATTGTGGGACCTCAGATAGCAGAGCAATAAAAGTCAAGAAGCTGGATAAGTAAACTGCTGTGCAGGAGAGGTGACTCAAGAAAGCTGTAGGAATGGACTTCAATTTCATACAACATAAGATCACTGCAACATGCATCTGCAAGAACACTGCTATTTCATTCAGATTCACAGAACTCATCAGACGTTCCTCTCATATTAACACAGCACCTTTTTCTGGACATGAACGAGATGCATGAGATGCTCTGGTTCAGAGCACCAACATCTCAGAAAAGTCAGGAACCATGTTCAAAGTGCTGAGGATAGAGCTAGATTTTATTTAAGCTCCCCCATACCTTCAAGCAGGACTAGAAACTGAATATTACTTGTCTTCTAATATTTACCACTGAATCATAGAATCACTAAGGTTGGAAAAGACCACTAAGACCATATAGTCCAACCATCAACCCATCACTGCAGCACCTCGTGTGTTAAGGTCTGCTGGGAAACCTGGCTGTAATGCAAGTCAGGTAGGTGGAAGACAGCTCAGATTCAGAAATCATTTCTGTACACTTTTGTTCACCTGGACTTCTGTCGGATTTCCAAACCATGGACGGCACAGAGCCAAAGGGGTTCTGGCTGCCAGCTGCTCACAGCACTGTGAAGGTTAGATGAGTAGCACAACAGTAGGTTGCAATTAAGGAAGTAACCTCCAGAGTTACAGTAACCATCAGGAGTTTCTTTTGCCAATTCTGAAGCCAGTGCATTTCGCTTGGCCATTTGCACAACCCAACAACACGCACATGTTCCATCACAGCAGCTCTAGGTAAAGCCTGACTTCCTCCTAATCAGCTGATTTAGGTTCCCCTCCATGCTACTGATGTCAGAACCTTCAAAGGTACTCGAAATCCATGGGATTCGAGTGCCAAAGTATTTCTGAGCAGGGCAATACTCCAGCACTGCCAGAAATCTGGGCACTTTGGGGAACTGTACAGGGATGTAATGGACACAGCTTGCAGCCTGCCTAATGAGGAGCGCAGTGGCATCCACTCAGTTGGGAAATGTTATTTAAGGTGAATCTCAGAAACTTCAGAGCTCTCCATTTCTCAAACTGCAGTTACACTTGAAAGGGGACAGCACTCTGCATCGAGTGACTGCAAGGAAATAACTCCACAATTACTTAATGGATTTAATTAACTCACACTCCCCCTGAGTCACTGCAACAAATTCATTTGCAACCAGCTTGATCTTCCAGCGTAAGAAACTTCCCATGAAGAAATATTATATTAATGGAATGAAGTCTGCTTAATAGCAGACTCCAAAGGGAATCCACTTTCTTTTAGTTGTCATAACAGGTACCTACTTAGTAGTGTGTGCCAGGAGGAAAACAATCAGAGAGCGCCCAGGGATCTTGAATAACACAAAAATAAATCAGAGAAACAGCACAAAAGTTTGTTCAGTAACTCAAGAATCAAACAGTAGAACTATCACAATATGGGAACCAAACTTTCATCTTTCCAGAGAACCACAGATTTAGAGAAGAATTAAGGCCTTTATATATATATATATTATATATAATTTTCTGAGCAGATAGGACACCATTTCCCATGGAACCATTTCCTGAGAACAGAACCAGGCTGTGCCAAAGGGAAAGGCTCTCTCACTTTGAAGTTTGAACCAGAAGCCAGGGAAGCTAGAGCTCTTTGTAACTCAGGTTTAGAACCTCAAAAATGGCAGAAACCAACCCATGGAGCCTTCCCAACCCTCACATTTCTCTGGGCTTTGCAATAGCTGCAGGTCCAGACCCTCTGGTTGTGCGCCAGCTGTGTGTGCAGGTTAACCCAAACCATTGCTTTTGAAGTGGGATCCATTTTTAGCCACACAGCAGCAATTCAGCAAGAAAATTCCTCAAGCCCAAAGTCTCCCCTTGGATGCTCAGGAGAAAGCCCAGCTTTGAGGAAAGTGCAGCTGTTCCTCACCTATTTGTGTTTCAGCTTTGCTAAACCTCTGCTATCTCAGGCTGAACCTCAGCACTGCTCGGACCCAAAAGTCGCATGGAAGAATTAGAAAAATAGAACAACTTGCTTTCAATGGGCACAACCACGTCCCTCCCCACGCTCAAGGCAGCAGTTCCAACCTGTTGTCCCTTCCCTTTGTTCCTGGCCAGGTTGGATGAGGCCCTGGGCAGCCTGATCTGGTGGGTGGCAACTTGCCCATGGCACGGAGGTTGGAGCTCAATGGTCTTCAAGGTCCCCTCTAACCCAACCATTCTATGATTATGTGACTCTGTTCCTTCTGTGGGACCATTGGTGATAGGTGGATGGTTGGACTGGAAGATCTTATAAGTCTTTTCCAACCTTAGTGATTCTGAGATTCTGTGATCCCACTGATGCCTGCTTTGCTCCTCCAGGTGACCACCGGTACATGATGAACAACTATGAATGGAACCAGCCCGACAACTTGAAGAGATTTTCCATGTTCCTGTCTCCCAAAGGTAAGGCAGCCCAACACCTTTCTTCCAAACACAGCACAGGAAAGGAACTTCATCTATGATTTGTCCTCAGATTTGCTTTCCCACACATACTTCAATGTTATCCAAGGTCCTTCCCCCTGCATTTGTTTATGCTGGGTCTTCTCTCCATCCTACAAAGATTGGAGAAGTTTTCTCCTTTCCATCCCAAAGAAAGCAACAAAAGCTCTTGGCTACATGGAGGAGAACTGGAGCAACTGAGCTCTTTCAAGAGGGATGTTTGTGACACAAGGGGAGTTTTATCAGGTTGAAGTAAGCGTTATCCTCCACTAGAAGCTTACCCCTCTGTGCTATCAAATGTGAAAGCTACACCAGGCTTCATCTGCATTAAGATTTTACTTTCACCAGAAAACATGTTTTTTCCCTGCAGGGAAAGGCTGCAAGAAGTGAGGAATGTGTCCTAAAAAAGCAGATTGGGGTTCTTTTCTGAGCTCTTACTCTGACAACAAGAGCCCTGCTGATCTGCCTATGTCCCCATTGCTACACGAACACTATGGGATGAGTGAATGACTGTTTTCAACGCATTCAGTTGTAAAATGGCAGCTGCCTATTTCTAAATCAGGACCACCAGAGTGAGAAGTGCAGAGCGACAGAGCCCTGGGCAGAGCAGTGCCTGTAGAGACAGCAACACAGAAAGAACAGGGCAGAATAACTAACCAAATTCCCTCTGTTCCTTAGGGAGCAGATCCCTGGCTGGCTTTGCCAGCTGTTTGCAGCTGCTGCTCTGCCAAGGCAGATGGTGGTGGGGCACAGGGCCATGCCTGCAATTAGCCACGGTGCTGCCCTGAAGGCACACGTGTGCCATATTGCTGCTCTGTCTGTAGGGCTGCGTGGGGACAGCCCAGCTCCCAACACTGAGCCCTTTGTCTCAATGTCCCCTTTGCCTTTTTCCTCTGTTACCAACCCACATGGGCAACGGGATGCTGCTGGGTGCAGATCCCATCAGTCCTTTAGCAGGACTGCACCCTGCTGGTCCTCTGAGTTTGGGGACAGCCAAGTTTGAGGGCATTTTGCAAGCGGAGGGTTCAATTCACAGGGAGGCTGTCTGCAAAAACTGCCCACAGGGCTGCAAAGCTGCTGTTCTGCACCAGTTCTGCTGGTGCTGGGAAGAAACCAGCCTGAGACCCGCATCCTGCACCACCACCACTTTCAACCTTAAGGAATGGCTGAAAATGAGTTCTCCATTATTCAGGCTGAGGCCAACCAAAATGCAGGGCTTTGGGTTCAGGTGAAAACGGCCCAAAATGAATTTGAAGGGAGTGGAAAGTGAGGGGATGCTGTTCTGCATCCTGACCTCCTGAAGAACCCACCACGACAAAGGAGAAATCAGCTGCTGGATTTAGAGGTCACCATTTAGTGCTGTTTGCTGGAGCCAGAGAGGATGCTTGCTGGATGCAGTCAGCACACCGTGCTTTCTGCAACGGGCTTTTGAATGCACAAACACTGTGGGATCATTTGTTTCACCTGCACACCTCCATTGTCCTGAGAGCCCACACGTGTTGCTTCCCAGAGCTGCTCGTTCTGTATTAGCTACCAATCTGGTTACTTCAACCAAAGAACTAAACAAGTGGCAGCACAAAGTCGCTGCTGAAATGGGGACTGAGCAGCACTGCATTCTCCACCAGAGACAGGGCACAAGATCTCTTATGGGAACAGTGATAGAAGGGAACCAGCTGCTGCAACCACACCAATGGGGACTTTGGGAACAGAATGAGTCAGTAGGCAAACAGGAGACATGACCCACTTAAGCTTGCATGCTGGCTAGCAAAGGATTATCTGATGAATAATGCACCATAGCCATAATCATTTAGCTCTCCAGAGCTTTCTGTGCTCTTGCAATGTGTCATGTGGAAGTCCAGCACTGCTTCTGATTGCATCTTTTCTAAGGAAATCCGTAAAATGGAAGAAAAATCAAATAAAAGAGGACGCCCTCCACCCTTTGTGTTGCATAATATGCAGAGAACCCTTAAATTTCTCTTGACAGTTTTGCAACACACCCCATTTCTTGCTAGGTTGGGTCACTGCAAATTCTGCCTTAGGTCACAGCAGCAAGTCTGCTTGCTGCAATGAGGAATGTTACCCATGTGGTGCTCTGTGCTAGTACTAAAAAACTGCTTGGACTTGAACTGACCCCTGTTTTTAAGCCCTGCTTGCACTGAAGGAGCCTTCCAGTGCTCTTTTCCCTTAAAGACAGTATCGCAGAGCATCCATCTGCAGGGGTGACATAATGAGGCAGAGGGGAGACATAAAAGGCTTCAAATGCTGCCTAAAAGATGGGGGAACAAAGCGTTCTGCTGCTCAGCACTCCTTTCTGTCCTCTTCCACCGGGCTTTTTTTTTTTTTTTACTCCTGACATTGCAAAGAGTTTGGCCAAAGCCAGAAGAAAGTTGGAAAGATCACCTTGTGCCTTTTGCAGATCTTTGAATCAGAGGAAGGGAGAGGCAACTGCTGCAATAGAAGCAGTGCTGAAATAGAAAAGCAGACCACAGGATGGCAGCAAAACAGCTCAAAGCATTCATCGCTTTGTGTTCTTCGGGGAGAGCCATGGCTCACACAGGGGTACAACAGCACAAGGCTGCATCCCAGCGTGAAGTCCTAGCAAAACCCTGCCCAGGTGGCAGAGCAAGAGACGTTCCTCTGCTCGTGTCTCTTGTGGCCTAAATGCAAGCCTCCGCCTGCAGCTCTCTTTGCAAAACAGCCACGTTGAGCAGGCAAACTGCAGCTGGCAACTGAATGCAGCTGAAGACAGCTGTGCAGCAGTGAGAGAGTTTTGTTCACTAAGTGATGTCCCACCAACCCCCCCCCCCTCCCCTTGGGACACAGAGCAAAAAGATCAGACTTCCCTCTCCGCACCACATTTTTGGTCTGGGGTTGCCTCCAGAATGGTGGGGACTGTTTCATTGAGCAGTGCCACGCACAGCCCTTAGAGCCAGCTCACCAGGAGCCGATTGCTGAACTGGATGCTCTTGTTTTACAGCCAGTTTCAACCCACGGTCATGGGAATTTTCCTCCTTCCAAGCGACTGAGGAAACACTTGGTACGGGTAAATCTGCCTTCAGTTTGAAAGGATCTAACACCCGTGCCACAGCTTTCCAGCTGTCTAACTGACCTGTCCTGCTTCCCCTCTCGGCTGTCCTGTCCCTGTCTCACAGAACCAGCTCTTATCTGGGTTATCAGCACTGGCTGCATACACCCAAACGTGAGCTGGCGCTGCTCTAGGGCTGTGTGTATAGGAGGGAAGGGCATCCCTGGTCCTCACTGCTCAGACAGTGAGGAGAAGATGGAAAACAGACAGGTGCCAGTTTGTAAAGACCCTGAGATACCCGACCAACTGCCTAAGACCTGAGACATCCAACCAACTGCCAAAGACCCTGAAATACCCAACCAACTTCCAAAGATCCTGAGATAACAAACAAACTGCCTCCACCAACTTGTCCAAGGCGAGCTGCAGGGGCTGGGGCAGGGCCAGGATCTGGCTCAGTTCCCCCCAACCCTGACACAGAAGCATGAAGCTACTCTCCTCCCTCTCCTATACACCTTTTCCTTACCACTTCAGTTCTCAGCATCGTGGCCTGCCCAGTGTTCAATGCCTGTACAGCACCCAGTGTGATGGGGAGGGGACTTTGTGGTGGCATGGGGAGAACCAGCAGCAACAAAGCCTTCCTTTCTCCCACCTATCCCTGCTCCCTCTGCCTGTTCTTGCTCGGAGGACCTTCCCTTTGCCCAAGCACTGCAGCCTCCTGCCCAGGGAGCCCTGGGCACCTTCACTCACTGCCTGTGCTGCAGGCAAGGCTGGCTCCATTTCATCGCTCTTCTCCCACAACCATTTTGGCAGCCAGGAGGGGAAGCCTTGCTTTAATTTCACTGGGCTTTGAGTAAGGCTCTGAGGCAAAGGAGCTTTGGTTGCCGTGTCGTTTTGCCTCATTATCCCAGTATCTGGAGATACCATTTACCTGCGAGGATGCTGCTCTTCGGTCACACCTGCATTCTGGGTTTTACCAGAAAGTTTCTTCCCTCACTGGGACTTCCACACTGTGCACCGGAACCCCACCACTGGCTGCTCTCACTTAGGGAAAAGGGACGCAGCCACTGGTCCCCATTTTCCCTAAGCCATTTGGAGGCAGTTTCACAGGGTGTGTGTTGAAATGCTTAGGTTCCCCCCCTTGCCGCACGCAGCCCCCCGGAGTAACTCAACCTCTTCTATCTTCCAGTAGGCAATGGCACTAAGCTGCCTTTTCAGTTCTCCTCGGTGGGACAGAATCCGCCCGGTGACTTCAGCAAACAGTCTGATGGGAGCCTCTTCACTAAGACCGGTACTGGGCACTTAGGTGTTGCCCTCCTCCCTCCCTTCTGCCCCCTTTTTTTAGGCAATAAGCTATTTCATCCTGTTCTTGTTCCCGCCAGGAGGCCTGGAACAGCCCCACATCCGAAGATGAGAATTTGAGATGCTTTTAGGTGCTCGGAGACCGCAGGAGACGACATTCCCTTTACCCCTCTAGCTTTATCACTATTTCAAAACAGCTATTATCCTAAAAGAGTAATAGCCACCGAGCACAACCTTTAATAAAGCGATGCACTTAGCTGCCAGGTCTCTTTTATCTGAACCGGCATTCCCCACTCACTGCCTCGTCATCCTCTTTTCACCACCAACCAGTTCAAGGGCACCCAAGGTTGAACCCAAGGGCACCAGCACCTGCCGAGCGCAGTCAGGTTGGATTAATTTGCAAGTGGGAGATGGTGGGGAAAGCCCATTGCCTGGCAGCTCTGAAACTGGTGGTGATTCAGCAGGGCTGCTATTATTTCTGAATCAGAACTGAGCTGGTGCAGTAGAAGGAGGTTAGGGCTTATCGCATTGCCAGGGGTGCTGTCATTAATTTCTGACATGAAACCCAGGCCTCGGCTCTTTGTGCTAATTAAATAGCCTATAGTGTTCTTTGCAAGAGTCAGAATGCTTAGTTCAGGCCTTGGCCTACATTTAATTGGACCGATCGCATTCTGCCTCCCTGCATTCCCCAGACATTTTAATTAGACAGAACCTCCTGCACTCCCTTCTCCTAACCTGCAGGGTGGTGGGATAGGTGTCTGTCCGATGGCTGCTGTGTCCCACCCCCAGAAGTGGCTGCATTTCAGTGTTAAGCAGTGCAATACTAATTACGTGGCACTTCCAGTCCTGCTGCTCATCCTGGTGCTTGCAAGGAGAGATGGGGATGGTGCCAGGGGCTGACCTGTAACAGGCTCTTTTATGTTGTCACAGCTTATCCCTCAATAGTGAGACATCAGTCTGCAAAAGTGACGCCACAGACATGGAAATCCTCCAAGCAATCTGTATTGGTAAGAAACAAACCCTGGGGGTGAAAGCTTCAGCAAAGGAAATATCTGTTCTTGGGGGACCTGGGACTCCAGAGAGTAGGGCTTTGGTCCTTTGGAAATAGGCAAGTGAAAGGTTCAGGTCAGCAGCTTCCATTGTTTTTTTTCTGTGGTTAGTTGCATCCAGAGAGGGATGCAGATTGACCCCCCTGACACCACAGTGCCGGGATGTAGGAATAATCAATGTTTCAAAGTGACATTTTGAAAGGATTTTGCCCTGGTCTAGAATTCGATCCAGGCTTCTAAAAGCTATGCACACACTTCAGAAGACACGCTGGAATCTGTAGAACGTTTTCTTCCTGCATGGATATCATACACTCTTAATAGACTTTGACAACAAGAAAACACAGATTGTGTAAATAACTCCAACAGAGAACCATATAGAAGTATTACACTAATTACATCCTACAGTGAGCAGGCGCAGTATCAAAGACGAGGGGTCAGACAGTGATGATAAATCACTACAACAGCTGTAAATGGCTCAGTTAGCAGTACTGCCACAACACAGGCAACAGCACACGACGAGGGCCAGCGGATGGTAGTGCTGTAGTTCTCATGTGCAAGGTTAACAAAGAGTTAACCACAGAAACACTGCGTTTATCCACTTTGTCTTAGCATCCCTCCACACCACGATGCATTAAGATCTTGCACAAGCTGAGTTAAGAATGTCAGGTCTTTGCCCTCGTCTCTGCAGGCGAAACCCATTTTTGAATTCTCATTGTGCATCGGTGAGACGTTATTTACCACTCCCTGGAAATAATACTTGTAAGGAGGAGGAGGCCAAGAGTCAAGAGCATTCCCAGACTGGAGGATGCAAATAGAAGGAATACACAGCAGTGAGAAAGGAGCTGCCCAAGGACTGCAGCTCTATGTCTGCTCCATTTTAAAGGCCCCTCCAGGAGATGAATAGCAGTGCAAGGGACATCCCGTGATAGGCTGTAGCACCCTCAGAAAATCCAGCATTGAGTATTTGAACGTGCTACAGCAAAAACACATCTAGGAGCAGCAGTGAGATGCAATATCTTCTCTGTCTTATGTTTGGTCACGGGCTTTCTAAAAGATCTCCAACTTCATCATGCATGTGCCCACATAGACACTGCAGCCAATGGTTTTTAATACTGACCCAACACCCACTTCCCTTCATCCCTGCTAAGAAGGCCTGATGACTTCTCCCACCCAAAGCCACTGCTCTTTTTATCTCCTTCGTGCATATGCTGCTGCTGGCTATTCTGTTTTTATAGCCTATATTCACCAGATATCCCTGAACCTAACAATTGAGTTGATAAATATAAGCATTAAGAAGTCCCAAAATAGAAATCTACACTCCGGGCTGCAGTAGCTCTGCGTGAGCTTTTACGGTCTATTGGCCCAATAATCTAGCTTTTAAAGTAGTCTTAAATATGTATTTAAGCAATACACACCCTAAAAGGTCCGTAAATACAAATGTTCACAAAGAACTCCACTGTTTAAGGAGGAATGTCTTTTCAACCCAGAGGGACTTCTTTAAAATGAAGGACCCCTCTTCCATCTCCTAATTATTTTGGAATTGGAAGCCATAGAGTGAAAAGAATCTCAACAAGACACAGCATTGAGCAGGAGGCTCTGGGAGCTGGCACTGAGCACCAAGGTGGGTTGACTTGCTCTCCCATGTTCCCACCCTCAACCAATGCTCCTGGGAGGTCTCTCCCACCTTCTGCAAGCAAGATCTGGGCAGCAGATCAAACCTAAGACAGATCAGATGTTGCAAAACCAAGGCTGGCCCTGACTGCCTTGTCAACCACTTCCCTGGTGTGAGCATGTTCTCATGTCACCTCGGTGCTCCTCAGTGGCAGCATCCAAGCCACCATGTCTAGGAGTTGCTTGTAGGAGGAGCAATAGGGGTTAACCCTCAAGTTTAAAGCACTGCAGTGCAGGGGGCAACAAAGGTGAGGAAGAACTGACTGATTGCCTTCAGTATTGCTGGATGCAGGCTAAGGATTTCACCGTTCAGTCAGTCAATAAATGGGCTTTTGTGTTCTGCAATCACCTCCAGCCAACACTAGGCTGCACAGTGCACCTTTGCCACGTGTTGCTTGTTTGTAGTGGTGTAGATAAGCATGAAATTGCTGGGGCGGGTCATGATGAGAAGAGGTGCAACTGGAGACTGTGGTAATAGGGCTGGAGACAGAGGAACGTGGAAGCTCCCCTAGGCTTTGCCCTTGCATCTCTTCCTCTTACGCTCCTGCTTACCCAGACTTTTACATGGGGCCCTGCAAGACGTGGAGGTGCAAATAAACAATACTCCATTGTGGGAGAATTTCCATGCACAAGAATTTTGGTTCTCCAACAGGAGAGCACAAATAAGCACCGTGCAGCAGAGCCCAGCGCTCACATAACTCTGCGTGGCTTTAAGTGTGAAAGCTCCCATGAGTTCTCAGGTTAGCGAGCAATTAAAAGACACTGACAGAAGCATAAAAATAGAGGTGACATTCCTCTTCTCCCAGAAACCTCTCATCAAGCCGTGAGTCACAGTCTGAGAGTTTATATCATGCACAGACTCATTTGGCTTAGGCATGATGTCCATGCAAAGCATGAACGCAAATCAAACAGCATCACCATTTGCATTTGATGACTCCGGCTGAGAAACGAAGTGGTGCTGCTCTGCAGGACTGAAGGTGTTAAAATAGGAGTGTGTTAAATTACAAATGGTTGGGCTGCCAAGGAGGGTGAAGTATAGGTGGCCAGAAAAAGACAGAAGGTCAAACTTAATGCCCCAAATTCTCCATTGCAGTCACATTACCGCCCCTTTTACGTCAACAAAGGCAATGGAGCCACTTCCAACGAGGCACCTTGATTCCTGAAGATGTAGGGAAGAGCTGGCAGCACTTGGAGTGAAGACTCAGCTGCGGATTTTCATGGATGTACCTGCTACTATATTAACCTTGCTGCTCTAATCTCTGCCAGGGAGAGGGAAGGTGCAGAAGGGAATCGCCTTTTCTAGAGGAAACACGGATTTTTTCCAAGTCCACTTGAAAGCTCTGCAAGCCTTAACAACATAACTCCATCCTCTGCTGTCACCTCCTTACTCCCCCTCTCCCATCACCCTTCCTTTTGCTCTGCAGAGCTGCTGCTCTGCTTCTCCAGGAAGCATGCATGCTTGGCTAGCACTCACCCTTCCCTTGCTCTGCTGCTCTGGATGCCCTGCTCTCCAAGTGACCATAGCTAAATCCTGCTGGAAAATCCCAAGCAGGGGGGCTCTCCTCCTTGAGACCCTTCCTCAGCTCAGCTCTGCTCCCACTGGGCAGCAAAATCCAGCAATGGGACCTATGGAGCAGCCCTACTGCAGCCTGAGGCCACTGCTGGCAGAGGGCAGAGAGGTTCCGTATGGCATTAAAGAACCCCTCCAGCCACCTTTTCAAATTAAAAAATAGATAGAAAATCCATCCTACTAATGGAAGATTGATTAGGTGCCACAGGTATTGCGTGTTTTGTGGTTTTTTCTTTCTATTGTAAATTCCCCTAAAACAAAATTGGTTTATATATTGTGGTTTGGGCATTTTTCCAGCAATAGTGCCATCGTTGTTTGCTCAGGGTAGTGCTTTTAATTTGTCCCTGGGATAGATGAATCATATCAGCACCCAGCCAGCGCTCGCTAGCCTTGCTGTGATCTTCCTGAGATTATTTCCCTTCCCCTTGGATGAAGCAGAGGGGTCAGATCCTCACCAGCCCACCCATTGGTGGCCCATTGCAGGGCCAGAGCCCTCCAGCTGCAGAACAGAGAAACAAGAGCTGACAGCTGCTTTGCACGGTCTGCTCTGTCCAAATGTCTCTGGAACGGCTTCTCCCTGCCTTTCCTACCCCAAAAGCTTGCAGCACCTGGCTGAGACAGCTCTTATCCATCTCTCCCTGAAAACTACTGATTTGCTAATCCCTGTGCAATGATGCTCGCTGCTTCTTAATCCCATCCCTCAGATGAAACTGAGGCTGAAAGCTGGTTGCTCCAGAATACTTGAATGGCACCTATGTTACACTTACGTTGTTTCTTTCTGATTTCTTTTTTTTACTTTTTTTTTTTTTTTTTTTTAATGACCAGAGGGAAAGGAGGTAGTGTGGTGAGGAAAGACAGGAGGAAGGAGAAACTGGGATAGAAGGTAGAGTTGCTAGGAAATACACAGTGGGACTTGAGTACGTGCAAGAGAAAG